ATTTTTTTTTATTCTATTCCCTGTCATCATACATCGGTTATTTATTTCACAGTACCTTTTCAGAAGCAAAAAGATAATATCTTGACACCTTCCTTCTTTCCTTCCTTCCTTGTACGCTATCTGCCTTTCAGAAAAGAGAAATGCACAAATCCACATTTTTCGATGACCATGATGTGGTCTCCAACGACCCAAATTCCACGTTCGTTAATTCTTACACTGCTTCCTATGGCAATGCATTTAACTCCACCTATCAATCCACCTACGATCCGCCATCATCCTACAAGCCAAATTACGACATCCCTTTTCCTAGCGGTTATCCTACCGGTCATCATCATACCGTTGGTCATCTTTACACCACCGAAAACTATCCTTCCGCCTTCTTACCGGTCAGCGGTAATTCCTCGTCGGATTCTAGTCCAGTTGGAAGTCCTACTTTGTTGCCAAGACGCGTTCCATCTTCGGGCGGTCTAAATGATCATTTTATGTTGGATCAACAGACCAAAGATTGTTCTTACACCGTGCACACCATGAACTCGGGCAAAGTTAGACGTAAATCGTCCAGGGCTTCAATTCGCAGCAATCGTAATTCCATGCTGTTGGACCCTATCGTTGAGGAGGAATTGCCCATGAATGCAATCAAAAATTTTGGATCACCTCCCTCACGCGTTTAACCGATTATGATCAGGGAATGAGTCTTGTAGGCGAAGATTAGTTATTATTGATTTTTTTTTTTTTTTTCGCGTTAATCATGATAGCTTACTCACGCCTTTACCAGTTATCTATCTCTCTCTCTCATTTCCCTCTTACTATTCACACATTTATAATATTGTACATATCTTTAATGATTTCTGATAATCTACGACGTTAACTCATGCGCCTGGTGTTTTCTCGAACATCTATGTAGCTTCCACTGCATCTTGTCTCTTTTCCTCGATAATTTCTTGTAAAATTTTTGTCTTATCTATCATGTTCACCATTTCACTTCTTGTAAATATTTTATTT